CAAAAACATGACAGATATAAATGCTACTAAGTGCATGTTGGCTAGCAAATTCGATATGAAAGATTTAGGAGTTGTTGATGTGATCTTACGAATCAGAATTCATAAGACTCCACAAGGTCTAGTATTATCACAGTCTCACTACATTGAAAAGGTACTTGACAAGTTCAAGTATTTGGATTTCAAAATTACCAAGACTCCAATTGACGTGAGTTATGCACTTCAAAAGAATGAAGGTGAAAGTGACTCACAATTGAATTATGCAAGAGTATTGAGAAGTTTGATGTATATCATGAATTATACACGACCAGATATAGCATGTGCTATTAGTAAATTGAGTCAGTTTACAAGTAATTCCAATCACATACATTGGATGGCAATGAAACGAGTTTTGGGGTATCTCAAACATACCCAAAATTACGCTTTGCATTATAACAAATATCCCTCCGTGATCGAGGGATATAGTGATGCAAATTGGATCACTGGATCATCTGAAGTTAAATCCACGAGTGAATATGTTTTCACAATTGGGGGTGGAGCACTGTCTTGGAAACCATCCAAACAAACGTGCATCGCCCGTTCTACAATGGAATCTGAATCCATAGCTTTAGATAAGGCCGGTGAAGAAGCTGAATGGCTCCGAAATTTCTTGGAAGATATTCCATTTTGACCCAAACCTTTGGCACCTATTTGTATACATTGTGATAGTCAAGCAGCAATAGGCAGGGCAGGGAGCGTTATGTATAACGGAAAATCTCGTCGTATACGACGGAGACACAATACCATTAGACAACACTCTCTAGTGGTGTTATCACAATTGACTACGTAAAGTCAAGAGATAAGTGTCGGATCCACTTACAAAAGGCCTATCTAGAGAGGCAGTTGAAAGATCATCAAAGGGAATGGGGTTAAGGTCTAGGACAAGTCATCATGACGGTAACTCTACCTAGCAGACTGGAGATCCCACGAGCTAGGTTCAAAGAGATCAAACAAAGTTATGAATGACGGTTCAACATTGTCAAATAACTCAACCCATTCTCGTGATGAAGACAATGTTCAGAAATCGAGGTAAAGCATTAAGGCTTTTTGATGAGTCAACAAAGCTTAAAGGTTTTTTAATGATTTGCTAAGTCTGGCAGGATATGACCAGATAGTGTGTCTATAGGATTACACGTTTAGAAATTACCTATGTGAGTGTGAAGTGTAAGCCGCTTCAAGGGGAATGAAAGTAAAGGCCCATTCTCTAAGCACTCATGAAATCAGGCGGTGTTCATGACTGAAACGAACACAGCCGTGAGAATCATAAATGGTTAAGGATTTATTGTGTGACTTATGTTGTCTAGGTATACAACAAAGCTCGATGGTTCAAAGATATTAAATCTACCGATTGACCGAGTATATCCGATATAAGTTCACTACGAAAAGTTCAAAGGGAAACCTACTTATCTAGATGCAATTAATTCTTGCATGTAAAACACACACGCGTCCGTGCATTCCTTTATTTTATAGCCATTCCCCATTCATGTGGGGGATTGTTGGGATTTTAAGCTTGTGTAGCTTAAAGAAGGTGAATGAGAAATGGAGGTAAAATAAAATATTTGAGTTTTCCTTGGGAAAGGGACATTGTTCCATATCGGAGAAAGAAAATACTTTTGATGGGTATATATATAATTGCTCTTCTTCTACCTCTTAAAGAGTTAAGAAAAAGGCAAGCCTCGCGCCGTCGTCGTCGCTCGCTTGGCTCGGCTTCGGCTTCGGACAAAAAGAGTTAAGAAAAAGGCAAGCCTCGCGCCGTCGTCGTCGTCGCTCGCTCGGCTCGGCTTCGGCTTCGGACAAAAAGAGTTAAGAAAAAGGCAAGCCTCGCGCCGTCGTCGTCGTCGCTCGCTCGGCTCGGCTTCGGCTTCGGACAAAATTCCTTTCAATTATTTAATTAATTAATCAAATAATTAACGAAAAATTCAATCCAGAATAACCCATGACCCGCGACCCGGTTCGGTCAGACCCGTTTTCTTTCCCGGATTATTTTAAATATATTTTTTCCGTAATATTTCAAACACCCCTTTTCCAACAGCCATGGTTGTTTCTGAAATGTTGCAAACCTTTTCAGAAACAATGCCAGCAACTCTATAAATAGAGTTTGAATCCCAGAATCTTTCCTTACGAAATTTTCCGAGCTTCTTCTTCTTCTGCACAATATTTTTCAGTGTGTTTTACGACCATTGAGTGGTTCGCAGTTCATCAGAGTTTTTAGTACCAATACACTGGTGAGTTAAATCGTTCTATCCTGGGAGGATATATTCCAGCACCTCGGGTACTTGAGGGAAATAATTTTCTTAAGGACACACTGTGTATTCGGTGGGCTCGATTTATTCCTATACTGTTTTTTGTTTTCCAGTATCTATTTCGTTAAACAAGTATTACTAACTTTCTGTTTTGTTTTTTCAGAAAGTTTAATTGTTTATTACAGCAATACAGAATAATAATAGGAAGTAAGCGACTTGTTCTCTTTGCAAACTTTTACTCGGAGAATTTCTATTATAATAGGTCTATTTTAATAGTTCTAGAACTCTTCAATGTAATGACAGTCATAGTCTTTCCACTCGTAAAAGTAAATTTATATTTTAAGTATATTTTTGTAAATCAATATTATTATTTATATTTTTATAATAATATAATTTATTAAACAACAATTTATTTTTTTTAATTTGTTAAACTCGGTATCAAGTTAAACACCAACAAATAAATTGGGACGGAGGGAGTATTAAATTGACGAAATTGCCCTTTACTAGCACTTATTAATAAGTTGAGAATCAAAATTTGGTAAACAGGAGAAGTTCCATCAGAAATGGACGCTGACAAAGAAAGGAAAACCGAGTCATGGCCGAACCATGACTGGGCCGAGTTAACTCAGTTATGCCTCGTCGACATCTTCTCTCGCCTTTCCATCGAAGACCGATGGCGCGGAGCCATGTTTGTGTGCAAGCCATGGTTTCAAGCTTGCAAAGACCCTACCCTCAACTCGGTAATCGAACTCGAAGCTCAGTTCGACTCGGCCACTGAGTCGTCTCGTTACTGGACACCTGAATTCGAGCGCAAAATGGACTCTATGCTTCGATCTGTTGTACTTTGGAGTGATGGGTCTCTTACTACAGTCCGGGTTAGACACTGCTCTGATCGTTCCCTAGCTTTAATTGCTGAAAGGTAAACAAAAATACTCAATTGCTTTTAATTTCAGTAGTTATTTTTATTTTATTTTTTTTCGGTTGAGAAGCTTGTATGTATCCCGTAGAATTGAAGTAATTCCTCGTTGAAATTTATGTCGTAGTGTTGACTCAGATACAGAATTTAAGAAAAGAAAAAGAAATTTTTAAAATTTATGGTCTAAAATAAACTATAGGCAGAATAGGCTAATAGATACATTTACTTGTCCTTTTTTGTCATTCCGGTCCCGATACTTTACAAGGTTTTATCCAAACACACCGTAGTTGTTAAAACGCACTACTTTAAACTTCTCTAACCGTTGACTGAGCATATGTGGCAACTTGATGACCGAGTTGGACAAAATACGTGAATTTCACGATTATAAGGAGTCAGAGTGAAAAAGAAAAAGAAAATTAATTTTTTGAAATTAAAGTGTAAAAATAATGATATGTCATAAAAAATCTGATGCGGAGGACTACGTGTCATCCACATTGTGCATTTGAAGAACATGTTGGGTAGGAAGGGTTTAAAGTAGTATGTTTTTAACAACTACCAGTGTCTGAATGAAATCTTGTGGAGTACAAGTACCGGGATGACAAATCAGGACAAGTAGAGGTATTTATTAGGCTATTCTGCCTAAAATATAAATAGTTGTGTGGCCGTAGAAATTGTAAGAATAACTTGTTTCTAAATAAGGAAATGTGACATTCTTTTTTAGACCGACTAAAATGAAAAGAGTGTCACGCTAGTTGTGTGAGGCCTTTTTTTTGCTTCGCAATTTTTGTGGATACAAAAGTGTAAGATCTGGGTCTACAAATATGTGAGATAAAAACATGCCTCACATCAATAATGTTAGTTGTGTGAGGCACAGCCTAAAACTTTTCAATAAATTGGGACGGATGGAGTAGCTTTTAGTACCAACTGATGAAAAGCACTTAAAGTTGGTTTTATAAATAAGTTGTAACTTAATTATTTGTAATAAACTTCTTCTTCTTTTGTTAAAATGATTTAAATATCTTTAAAGTTGTTATCACCGTAAATGAGCTGATTATTCCAAGCTAATTGGTTCAAACACAAAATAATTTCAAATTCAACTTCAGTTCTACACTGATTACAAGAGATAATATTTACTAGTAATAAATAGTATAAATTGCTTATTTGAAGTGGCTAAGCTAGCAAGTTTGATATTGTAGAATCATTCACGGAACTTATTGAATTAATTTGCTTGTTTAGTTGCACAGTTTCAGCATATTTTTCTATCGATCTTGCTGTCCGTTATAGTAAAACTTACCCAGAGTATTTGGTTTTAAAAATCTAAAGACCCATATTTTTTTCAATTGAGATGTTAATCAGAGAAATCTTGAGAAAATTTTAATATATTGGCGGAAAATGGGATTTTTAAATTGAGGTAAAACTGGGTAACCAAGAAAATTTTGGAAAAGAAGAAAATAAGTTGGCTGAAATTGAATATTGTGGTTGTACTGAACTATGACTAGAAATAAAATGTTGAATGTGAAGATTGTGGACACTACCACCAGATTGTTTCTCATGTCTTTTTGGGGTTCTAAACTATTTATGTTTTTGGGTATCAGGGTTTGGGGATTTATGTATGATCATCAAAATAACCATTTAAGAGGAGAATAAACTGAATTCACACATTAGATAGAATTGATGCAGTTGGAGCCTATGTTGTTTGGAATCTCCAAAACGCTGCCGTGCCCGTGTCAGATCCCTAAAAAATCCAGGATCCGATACGCACCCGATGACATTTTTGGAAATTCAAAGCAGCATAGATTGGACCTGGATATTGCTTTCTTGTGGTTTAGAATGGAGGCTAAATCTTATAATATGTATGATCAAATTGTAATCTGATGTGTTTGATAAAAAGTTACCTTAACTGTTTATGTATAAAACAATTTCCAATCTTTTAAGAAACGATAAAGTTCTGTTTCAGTGTAGAGTTTATTTTTCTCTTCCTATTTCTTGTTTCGTTAAGATGGAAAACTGGGCTGGATTTAACTTTCCTAGTCTGGTGAAATGAGAATCATGGATAATACAGGATGATGGTTTCTGCCTCCCAACTTGATGAATCTAATGTGGTTTTGCTCCTAATGGGTCGTTTGGTAGGGTGTATAAGAATAGTGCGGAATAAGGTGTATTAGTAATGCATGGATTAGTAATGCATGGGATAGTAATGCAAGCATTAGTTATGCAGATATTATTTCTTATCTAGTGCTTGGTGTGGTGTATTAAAATTATAATGCATTGCATAATTTTTAAGAAAAATAGTTGTTTACAAAAATGCCCTCCATATTCTCAAACTTTAAGGGACTTTAAGGATAATTTTCTCTTTAACCAACCTAATGCATGCATTAGTAGCCTTGGTATTACTAATGCCATGGTTTTCTATGCATTACTTATACATAAAATAATACCAAGTATGATGTATAACTAATACATTAGTTATACACAGGTTGAAAAAATATACCAAACAAGGTATTAGTAATGCATAGAGCTAATGCTTGCATTATATTTTCTAATACCTCCTACCAAACCACCCCTAAGTGTGTAGTTACTGGTAATGATAAATCTCTATATTTACTTATTAGATATAATAATCTTACTTTTGTTTTTTTGGCATTGCCTACCAGTTAACATAAACCCATAGATTTTATTCTGTTAGATTGCTTTTTGACAATCGCTTTTCTTGAACCGATGGTATATTGGAAACAGTCTCTTTACCTCACACAAGGTAGGGGTAAGGTCTGCGTATACACCACCCTCGCCAAACTCCACTTGTGGAATCACACTGGGTATGTTGTTGTTGGTTTGCTTTTTGATAACTCTGGTGCTTCCCGAAGACAATCTTTTGCCTAGTTTTGGAAAAGTTTTCGTGGTCAGTATTTATGACTGGTAAATAATGGCTCTGTATATTCTTTACAGGTCTCCAAACCTTCAAGTTCTCTCTATCAAATGCTGTCCACATGTAACTGATGAAACGATGTCTAAGATCGCCTTAGGGTGCCCTTTGCTCAGGGAACTCGATATCAGCCTCTGCTATCAAATATCTCACATGTCTCTTGCTCTTATAGGACAGCATTGTGCTAATTTGAGAATTCTGAGGCGAAATTTCACGAGTAGGTTAGATCTTTCCCGACAACAATGTTTTGTCCCCGAGGAGTATCTAGATGCCTATCCTCAAGATGGCGATTCAGAAGCTGCTGCAATTGGAAAATTTATGTTCAAACTTGTGCAACTTGAGCTTCGTTTCTTCGACTTGACTAATAAAGGACTTGCTTTGATATGTGAAGGGTGTGTAAAACTTGAGCATTTGGATCTATCTGGATGTACAGATGTTACTAGCTCGGATATTTCAAACGCCTCATTGAATCTTAAGCAGTTGAAAACCTTGAAGAAGCCTCAGTTTTACTTCTCAATGTTAGGATCTCACACTGAGAGGTATATATGGGCACTGGCAGCTGAATGATGAGCGTTTCCGAACAGGTAACATCCGAATTTAATCAGGCAACGAATGAGCGATGATAAGCACAATGATCCGAATTTGGATCATTGTGCTTTCTAATCAGGCAAGGAATGAGCGTTTCCTCGACTGCTTGTATATTGTGCTTTCTAATTGTGTACTTAATAAGGGCTATGTATAAATAGAGGAAGATTATGTTTAACGCTCTTGATTACTTAGTAGAAAGGTATAGTATTCGACGAGCTTTAGCTGTGTGCATGTGTATATACATGAGATAATTGAACATAAGTACAACCCACACATATACATTGCAACCAGGTTGTGATCCAGTCACGACTTTGCAAATCTGTAGCCCAAAAGATAATAGGTCAAGGTTCAAAAGAACAACTTTTTTCATGCAAGGTTCCTTTTACTTTCTCCTTTGGACAAGTTTAGAGATCAAAGTTGGAATTATGTACTAGTGATTGTAACATGCACAATGATAGAGCCAATCTTTTCCATTTTTTTTTGTTGGAAATATGGAAAAATATGGGTTGATTCATATTTGACTCGCTTTTAATAAAATAGATATTCTCAACCATTTTTGAGAATAATATGAGCGATTTTTTTGTAAATTTTATCCATTTTGCCAGCACTAATAGCCTGTTTGGCCAAAAGTGCTTTTTGGCAAAAAATTGAAGTGAGCTTTTAGATAGAAAAAAGTGTTTTTGAGGAGAAGTAGAAGCAGTTTTTAAGAAATAGAAAAAAGTAACTTTTCTTCAAAAGCACTTTTCTGAGAAGCACTTTTGAGAAAAATACACTTAGAAGCAGTTTTCAAAAGCTTGGCCAAACACTAATTACTGCTCAAAAATGCATTTTAAATTAATTAGCCAAACACAAATTACTTTTCACCGAAATGAGGTGTAGGACATCCCACCTCCAGGAGATTCCAAATATGTCAAGTAATGTCAATGGACAAGAGTCAATTATTGCTCAAAAGAACAAAAGAGGAAACACATTCATTTCATCTTCCATCTTTATTGTGATCTGACAAAAGCCAACAGGAGATAATTGCATCCATTGCACCTAATTAATCTTGAGAGGTAAAGAGGAAAAAGAGGCCAAATCAGCTTTAATGAAAAAGGGTGAGAGAGTATCGTGGTGTACGAGATATCCCGCGTTTATATAGGGTTTGGAAAAGAATCGTAACATAAGAATATTAATGTAGACATCCTATCCGAATGCAAGCATAAGTGGATACTTCTACGGCTGAACGTAATAATTAATTTTGATATTTGAAAGTTCTTATTTTCACCCTTTTACATGCAAGTCTAAAAGGTAATAACTCTTTGATATTACCTTTCACCAATATCATTGACTTGTCTTGCATCATATTAGTAGGGCTGTCGTCAAGCCGAAGCTGGTTTTAATTTGTTAGTTCTAACTTTTAAGTAAAATTAGGAAATTTCGTGCAACAAACTGCCTTTTTTTGTTATATGTTATTGCGCATCATTTAATTATTCACATAGCCACCTTCGACTTTAGTTCTCATCTAAATCACATACTTTGCCGTTTTAAAAATATTATTTTTGTTTGACTTGGTACAAACTATAATAAAAAATGAATGACTTTTGAGATATGTGATCTTAAATAAATCATAGTATTTTTGTGGGTAAAACTTTTGAAATCTTTAATCTAAAATCTGTTTAAACATTTGCGTGATTATAAATATTTTCTATATTTATTTACACATCATAATTTTCGACTTCGATGAAGGGCGTTCGGCTCCGTCCACCTAGCTCCGCCCCTAATTATTCATATACACTCAATTCAATAATTTGTCATATCTACGTCTCAATCTCCTTAATTTTCTACGTCTCAATCTCCTTAATTCTCACGTCATTTTCTGTGGCACGTGATGTGGGACCATTGGGATGATACTTTTTTTTGTTAAAGCGTTTGTACCTAAAATGGGTAAAAGAAACGTTATCTACCCATCTAATTCATTAAAAAATGGATTGGATAATAAATTTTTTAAAAACGGATCGAATATGAATAAAAATTATATTGTCCACTTAAAAAATAGTTAACCAAATGGATAACTTAAGTATTTAACTTTTACATTTGAACAACCTCAAATTGGGGGTTCCTCAAGTTTTGGCAGACTAAGAATTTTCCCATAAGTGATCATATTCAAGAAGTCATGGATAATATGGATATCCATGGCCCATATTATCCACCGGATAACCCGTTTTTTATCCGTCTCAAATACGGATCAGATCAGATAAATTTATCTGTTTTTTAAATTATCCGTTTTCGACACGCTCATATCCGACCCGCCCCACCCGTTTGCCACACCTATTTGTGCATTTCCTTTCTCGATAGCCACATTTGTGTAGAGAAAATGAGATATTTCTCCATAGACTTTTGTGGAGAAAATGAGATAATAAAAGTCCTATTCCAAAAATAAATGTTGATAGGAACGTAACAAAACTTGCTTAATATGATCTACTACATTGCTGTACCAAAGTATCTATTCAAAGTTCCATTATTTACTGTTGATGTAATTAGATGTGGTATATTATGTGAAAATTATAGCATGTTTCGCCAAGCTTTCAGAGAAGTGCTTTTCTCAAAAATAGTTTTTAAAAAAATACTTTTGGCGAGAAACAATTTGTGTTTGACAAATTATTTGCAAAACACTTTTGAAGCACTTCTCAAAAATAGTTTTTTAAAAAATACTTTTGGCGAGAAACAATTTGTGTTTTGGCAAATTATTTGAAAAATACTTTTGAACAGTAATTAGTGTTTGGCCAAGCTTTCGAAAACTGTTTCTAATTGTATTTTTCTCAAAAATGCTTCTAAAAAAAATGCTTTTGAAGATAATCTACTTTTTTCTGATTCTCAATAACTGCTTCTACTTCTCCTCAAAAGTACTCTTTTTCTTCTAAAAATTTGGTCAAACGCCTTAATTTTTGGTCAAAAATATTTTTGGCTAAAAACAATTATTAATGAGTCAAAACAACTTTTCTTTGTTAATCAAGATTTAACTTATATCTGCTGACACAAATTCACGATAATGCAATTTAACTTAATGTAACAAGTCACTACGCAAGGTCGGAAGAAGGGCTACACCCTAAAGGATGTGATATAAGCTTACCTTAATACAAATATTAGTCTATTCCCACAACTAGGAGTGTACAAACCAAACCGATAACCCGCACCAATCCGAAAATCCGAGTCAACCCGGAAAAAAAATCCGACTAGTGGTTTGGTTTGACTTGGTTTGGTATTAAGAAATAAAACCCGATCATAATAGGGTTGGTTTGGTATTAACTAAAAAAAGTCAAACCGAAACCAAACCAACCCGACATTACATGTATACATATTTTATATATTAGATAGATAAAAATATTTATTAGAATGTAAGTTATAAATATTTCTTAATTTTTTTTTATAATTTCAGTATTTAGCATAATATTTTAAGTTGGTTTTATAGCTCATGTAAATGTTTGTTTTTGTCTCGCCCATAAAAGAATAATTGAGCCCAAACCAAAACCTAGTCCTAAAGCAAAACTAGATTAGTCC